GACCTTCTACAGGTGCACCATAGAGAGCATCCTGACCTTCTACAAGTGCACCATAGAGAGCATCCCGACCTTCTACAGGTGCACCATAGAGAGCATCCCGACCTTCTACAGGTGCACCACAGAGAGCATCCCGACCTTCTACAAGTGCACCATAGAGAGCATCCTGACCTTCTACAGGTGCACCATAGAGAGACATCCTGACCTTCTACAGGTGCACCATAGAGAGGACCCTGACCTTCTACAGGTGCACCATAGAGGAGCATCCTGACCTTCTACAGGTGCACCATAGAGAGGATCCTGACCTTCTACAGGTGCACCATAGAGAGCATCCTGACCTTCTACAGGTGCACCATAGAGAGGATCCTGACCTTCTACAGGTGCACCATAGAGAACCATCCTGACCTTCTACAGGTGCACCATAGAGAGCATCCTGACCTTCTACAGATGCACCATAGAGAGGATCCTGACTGGCTGCATCACGGCCTGGTATGGCAGCTGCACCGCCCTCAACCGTAAGGCTTTATAGAGGTTAGTGAAAACTGCACAGAACATCACCAAGACGGAGCTGCCATCTCTGGAGGACCTCTACTCCCAGCGGCTCAGGAAGAAAGCCCTAAGGGTTATCAAAGTCCTCCTTCACCCCAGCCACAAACTGTGCTGTCTGCTGCCGTCTGGCAGGCGTTACCGCAGCTTCAGGATTAAAACCACCAGACTCAAGGACAGTTTCATAACACAGGCAATAAGACTGCTAAACACCTGAGGCCTGTACTACGAAGCCGGTTCAACATAACCTGGATATGTTTGAGTTACCCAGCTTACCTAATCCAAAACAAACGCGCTCTCGCTAAACGGTCCTACGACGCTGGTTATCAACTCGTTAACTCAAGCCAGCTTTGCCCTATCTAGTTATGTGCCCGTAAAAGAGGCGGGGTTAGCAACATTTGACCAATAACAAACATGGAGAAGCGTACTGACAGCGCAGCGTCATACTCCCTCAAAGAAAAGCACATTTTAATATTAGACAAATATGAAGACATTAAACTTTAAACATCCATGACTTAAACACTTTATCCAGGATAAAAGCCAAATAGTTGCACCTGTAAGGTGAATACAGCTGGTAAAAGAAAAAGTGTTTGAATGCGCACATTAACAGGTTTATGATATCACTGCCCCGTCTAAGACACGAGTGGATCTGACTTTAATTACATTTGACTCTAGTGTTTCGTCAACTTAATGTGTTGCTTAAAATAATACTTCTGCATACAGTATGTGACACTGTGAGTGTTGCATGGCCAGATACGGCTCAGCTGACTCAGATAAGGAAATATATGATACATTATGATGTGATATCATGTGATATGAATGATAATGGGACGCATCGACGTCTGCACTCACAGTGCCGTGGACTGTACGTCATGTTACTTTGATCCGGTTACTTATGTTGTGGCAGATATTTAAGTAAGCTTTCTTAACGCTAATGTTATATTAGTCAGATTGCTCTGAAGATGGGAGGTGATATTCTATTAATTTTCACGTTCACACAGTCAGTTGATTTTTGCCGGCCGTCTTTCCTGCAATGGCAGTTTTTCTGTATTTCCTTTATCCTGTAATAGGACTTGATAGCTTTAAACCGCCGCACACTGAGCTCTGATTGGTCAGCAGGCAGTGCTTTCACTGAGTTGATCTCTTATCCTGGAACCCAACCTGCTCCGGACCAGGCTAGCCGTTCAGCATAAGTTACCATGGAGATCTAGCCCGCTAAAAAGAGAACCAGCGTCGTAGGACCGAAACCCCGAGTTTTCCCTGAAGTTAGCCGGCTAAACAAAAATCCTGCTTCGTAGTATCAGGCCTCTGAACTGTTGAAACAACATCCATAACATTCATTTGCTACTTAGTAATTATTTATCTATTTCTTAATATATAATTCCAATAAATGATATACTCTTATTGTACTAATTCACTATTTTGAAACTATTTTTCTTTTGTATTTACTAATTTACTTGCACTATATTTGGGTCTGTTTATCTGTGTTTATTGTGTTGCACTGTTGGAGAAGCCTCTGACACTATTTCATCGCATAATACACTGTAGCTATGTTCGTATGACAAAAATAAAGACCTTGAACTAGCCCATGAAACAAAGGTAAAAAATACATAGTTTTAAACATCGGTACATGTTAGGAGTTCTTACAGCTCTATTAACATTGGATTTATATTTTTATATGTGATTTAAATTATTTGTCTAATCATAATTTTTTAAGGAAAATAGAGGGCGATACGAGGGGCCGCCCTCCCTAACCACACACAAAAACATTATTATTAATAATAATAATAATGCTAATAATGATATAATTCCTCCAATATGTATTTGTTTTAAATATGTAATGCACCCAGGGAAATATGTGTAAAATATGACTTAAAAACATTTGCGCATATAGCTTTTCCACACTGGTATGACTGAAGGTTCAGTGGCTGGGGGCGAGTTTTGAGTTGGCTTTGTGTGGGGCCATGACGAGACCTGACATTTTCCGGGGATTGATCATCATCCTTCAGATCGGGGGAGTCTTACCCAAGGATACCAGCATGTGTTGCGTCCCTGGGCAAGACATCCATCCATCCATCTTCTCTCCCGCTTAATCCGTGGTCCCGGGTCGCTGGAGGGTACAGTTCCACAGAGGATGCCCCAAAACGTTCCTTTTTTTTCCCCCCCCCTGGGCCCCACATCAACCAAGC